TGTTCAACGTTAGAGTACAACACAATGTTATTGCAATATGTAAGGTATAATCTTCTAGAATCAAGAGTATTTCCAACATATATCTACTATATTTGAAGGTATAATTTAATGAGTTAATCACCTATACACTGTTAGTGTAAAGTTTTTTTACACTGATAACCAATTATATCTTTTAATTGTGTCATGTCACTATAAACACATTTACTTTTGTGACATGACACAATTAAAAGATATAATTAGTTGTCAGTGTAAAAAAAGTTTTACACTGACAATGTATAGGTGATTAACTCTAATTTAATTTAAGAAATGAGTTAAAAATAAGGAGCCTACAAAGAAGAAGTGAAGTAGGTGAAGTTTCACACCGATGAAGTAATCCCATGAAGAAGTTGTCCCCACTCCAATTCATTATCATTGTTAGAGCCTTTAGCTCTAACCGATTCATGTTGTGACTCATTCTCACATATTTGAGTGATGGTAGTGGGTGTTTGTGTGTTTAGTAAGATTAACCTTAAGATGTGATATCATCTAATTGGAGTTGAGGATGAGGATATATACTAGACAATTTTATGCTACTTATCTACGTGTGATTTTTGATTATATGAGGTGAGTGTTCTAGGCTCTGTAATTTCTAGCAGAGGTATAATGTAGATTTACCTAAGGTAGAAGTTGTGCTTAAGTGGGAGATACCAAAAGTCAATTAGTAAGGTTAACAATTTTCTTATATTAGCTTAGTATTATAGGAGAGCTATTGAGAAAATTTATAGGATAACATTACCTTTTACTAGATTGACTAGGAAGAGTGTTGTCTTTGTGTGGGATAGTGTGAGAGTAATTTCCATACTCTTAAGGAAAGATTGGCTAGTGTTAATATTTCCGGATTTTAGTGAGTCTTTTGTTACATAGTGATGCTTCTAAAGATGGATTTGGATGAAGTGTTGATGCAAGAAGGAAGGATAGTAGCCTATGTTTTAGGTAATTAAAAATTCATTAGAGGACTTACCTTACGCATGACCTTGAGTTAGTGGTTATGATATTTATACTAAGATTTGGATACACTATTTGTATGGTTCTAAGCTTGAGGCATGTAGTGATCATAAAAGCCTTAAATATCTTTTGACCAAAGGAGTTAAATAAGAGACAAATGAGATAATGGGAATTTCTTAAGGAATAAGATTTTAATCTTATTTGTTATTTGGGCAAAGCCAATATGGTGA